CCTGGAGCAAGCCGGAGCCGCACTGCCTTCACAGCTGAGCTGGGCCCAGCCTCTCTGCCTCTCTTTGGTTCCATCTCCGGATCAGCAGCGGTGAGTACTGGGGTGCCTCGGAGGAGGGGCTGCTCTGGGAAGGTTCAGTGCCCCTGTTGAGCTCCAAGAATCTGCCTGGCAAGGTTCCTACCTGGCAAGGTTGCTGCTTCTTCTACCCTGCTTCTACTCCACCAGAGGCCCGTTTCTCCTTTACAGTCCTTCCTGGGCTGGACAGGATATGTCATACTCATGGGTCAGGGGAGAGGGATGTGCAGCCCCCTCACCCAGACCTGGTGACTGGTGGGGGGAGGGGAGAATGGGTGTCTGATTATGTGTGTAAATGTGCATCTGTGTTTGTGATTGTGACCAGTAGGTCTCTGTCTGATACACCTGTTTCTGTGTGCATCGGAGGATGAGAGCCTGTGTGTGTATATTTGGGTACCTCTTTGTGTGTTCCTGTTTGATGATGGTGTGTGTGTAAAACAAACATGTGCCTTTCCATTATACACATATTTGTTATGACTGTGAGTGTATGAGGGTGTGTCTGTGAACAGTATTGCATGTGTCTGTGTGTACTGGAGGGTGTTGCCTATGCATGTGTTAACTTGTATGCTGATATATTCCTCTGCATGTCTGCATGAATCCATGTGTGTGTATATGCATGTGTGTGGATATATTTGTATGAAAAAATAATCTCTTCCCCTTAGCAAATGTGGACTGAGGCTAGAGGCCTCATTCAGACATCCCCCCTCACCTCTTCCCTGTGCCTCTTTAACACTTCATTATCTCCATGTAACCCCTCTTTTTCCTCATTTTTACAGGAGGTCTAGTTTTCCTTTCCCTAAGTGAGGGACCCCCATAAGAGGGGTTATAGGGGACCCAGGGCTGTATAATCCAGAAGGTGGGATACAAGCCTCCACATCAGAAAGTTGACCCAGTGACTGGACTCACTAAACTTATAAATTAGCTTACTCTTTCCTCCCAGTGATGCTCAGGGCTCCCATACTGGAGGAGAGATGCCAGACACCCACTGAGTGGATGGTCTTTTTCTCTTCAGGCCTCTATGGAAGGAGCCCTCAGGACTAGGATGGGTGATCCCATATTGCCAGGCCTGGTTACATCCCTGGACCTTAGAGGCCCCAACCCACCTTCACCTCCCCATCATTGCTGTTTTGCCCATCTAATTCCCATACACTTCATCCATGCTCCCCTTCCTCTCTTGCAGGCCTTGTCTGAAGAGCATGCAGCCCCCTCACTCCCTGCCTGGCCTCGCCATCCCTGCTCCCCCAGCCTGACCCCCGGCCCCAGCATGGCCCAGGGTGCCATGCGCTTCTGCTCAGAAGGCGACTGTGCCATCTCCCCGCCACGATGCCCTCGCCGTTGGCTCCCCGAAGGCCCAGTGCCCCAGAGTCCCCCGGCCAGCATGTATGGCAGCACAGGATCCCTGTTACGACGAGTAGCAGGTCCAGGTCCCCGAGGCCGGGAACTGGGACGTGTGACAGCACCTTGTACCCCTCTGCATGGCCCCCCCTCACCCCGTATGGCTCCCTCACCCTGGGCACCCTCTTCACCCACTGGGATGCCCCCACCAGGGGCCCAGAGCTCTGTGGTCATCTTCCGTTTTGTGGAGAAGGCCAGTGTGAGGCCACTGAATGGTCTACCTGCTTCTGGAGGCCTGAGTCGGAGCTGGGACCTGGGTGGAGTTTCACCTCCCAGGCCCACCCCGGCCCTTGGGCCTGGTTGCAACCGGAAGTTGCGGCTGGAGGCATCCACATCAGATCCACTCCCAGCTGGAGGAGGCTCTACCCTTCCTGGAAGCAGGAGCCCCTCACATGGGCCATTGGTCCCACCTCAGGTTGGGGCAGATGGCCTTTACTCCTCTCTTCCCAATGGGCTGGGGGGGACCCCTGAGCACCTGGCCACACTCTTCCGAGGACCTGCAGACACTGGATTCCTAAACCAGGTATGCAACCTGCCTTGTTTCACTGGGGCCCTAGTGCCCCAGCAAAGGGTCAAGGCTCAGCCCGTTTGACATTCATCTGACTCCTTTCATGTCCTAACTGCTCTTTCTTGTCCTCTGTAGCTGTGCCTCTATACCTCTGTCTCTGCACCCGTGTGGTTTTCTTTTTGCTTCTGTCCCATATTTTGTGTTCTTGTATGTCTGGCTTTCATTTTGAGGTTCTGTGTTTTTCCTTCCTTGACTCAGGGAGACACCTGGTCCTCCTCCCGGGAAGTCTCCTCTCATGCCCAGAGAATCGCTCGAGCCAAGTGGGAATTCTTCTATGGCTCCTTGGACCCCCCCAGCTCAGGTAAGACCTGGACTTTGGACAGGGGAGGAGGGCAGGGCCTTCCCATAGCAGCTGAGGACTAGCAGGGAGCCATCCTTCAAACTTTCCTCAGGGATTTCTTGAGCTCCCACTCAGCCAAAACATCTGTATCGTGAGGGCTGGGCCTGGCCTCTAGAGGAAGGAGGGTGGGAGAGGAAGGGGATGGTAGGGTATCAAGAGTCATTTTTTGGAAGAAGACTGTCTGGTCTCCTTCAGGCTTCTCATAGCTATTGGTAAGAACTTGGTTTGGAAATGAGCACCACAGGCACTTGGATCAAGTGAGGGGTGTGGCAGGAGAAATGGTGTTTAGACAATTAACTTCCAGCCCATATGGGGCAGTGGAGGAGCTATCCAACATGGATGGCCTTCTGACTTGGCTGCCTGTGCATACTACAGGTGCTAAGCCCCCAGAGCAGGTCCCCCCATCACATGGGGAGGGCTCCAGGCAGGGCTCTGGGGTGGCTGTGGGGCGAACAGCCAAGTACTCCGAGACGGACCTGGATACGGTACCTCTGAGGTGCTACCGCGAGACTGACATCGATGAGGTGCTGGCAGAGCGGGAGGAGGCTGACTCAGCCATTGAGAGTCAGCCCAGCTCTGAGGGCCCTGCTGGCACTGCCCGACCACCTGCCTCACGTCCCAGCCCATGCCCTGGCCCTCCTTCCAGCCTGGGCAGTGGCAATGAAGATGAGGATGAGGCAGGCGGGGAAGAGGATGCGGACGACGAGGTGTTTGAGGTGTCAGAGGGGGCCTGGTAAGTGGGGACAGGGGAGGGAAAATGGCTTGCTTCTTCCCGTTGGCCCAGAGGCAGAGCTGGGGTCAAAGGGCCTGGGGCAGAGAAGCGGACCACATGGACAGTATGGATAGGAGATTCCAGACAGAGGCTTTGAAAGCCTAGCGGAGTGTTAAGAATGTAGGGGCATCAGCAAGCATAGGGGTTAGGGCAGCAGCACTGATGAGGAAGGGTTCTAGATGATCAGGGGCCAGCCAGAGGCTGGAGGCCAGGCTGGTGACATGGGAGCCAGCCTGAGGACATGGGAGCACCAGCCGGATCCTGGGTCCTGGCAGGAGAGTGGGGACATGTGGGGGCTTTTCCTTTCTGTCTCATGCCCCACTGCAGCTTGGAGCCGCATCTTCTAAGATGTTGCCAAAAATAGAAATGGGATGGCAGGAGGGAAGTGGATCAGGGGAAAGGAGGAGAAAGGGAGATTAGCAGGAAGGTGGAAGGAGGGGGTTTGGGTGCTGGGGATAGGCAGGGCTAGGACACTGCAGAGCCACTGAATTTCATGGGTCTCTTACCTTAGTGGGTGGCTTTTTCTTAAGGGTTTGGGCCTGTGGAGAGGGGATGATAACCCCTGTAACAGTCAGGAAGAGAGTTCAGTGAAATCCTACCAAGATCTGGCTCTAGGGAGCTGATCAGGCATTCTCCCTGTCCTGCAGGCCAGGGAACCACATGCCTCACTCTGGGCCTATCAAGTCACCGGTGCCCTTTCTACCTGGGACCAGTCCCTCAGCTGATGGGCCTGACTCTTTCAGTTGTGTGTTTGAAGCCATCCTGGAGTCACACCGGGCCAAGGGCACATCCTACACCAGCCTCACCTCCTTGGAAGCCCTGGCCTCACCTGGCCCAACCAAGAGTCCCTTCTTCACCTTTGAGCTGCCACCCCAACCCCCAGCTCCCCGGCCTGACCCATCTACTCCTGCCCCACTTGCCCCTCTTGAACCAGAATCTGGTACCAGCTCAGCTGCTGATGGTCATTGGACCCAGAGAGGGGAGGTGGAGGAGGCAGAGGCTGGAAACAAGCTGGCCCCAAGAAGAGAGCCCCCTAGTCCCTCCCACTCCGAGGATAGCTTTGGGCTGGGGGCAGCACCCCTCAGCAGGTGAGCATCCTCTTTGATACTTCAGCCCCAGTCCGAGGTCCCCAGGATCTGATGATTAAGGGACAGATCCCCAGCATGAGGAAGTAGTTTATATTCCTGACTGAGAGCAGGGCAGTTAACAGATGTCTGTTTTCCCATTTGGAGGCCCACTGCCATTGGCCCCCTGCAGCTCCCTCCCTGGGCTCAAATCCGGTGACTGGAGGAACCATAATTCAGGACTAAAGAATCCCCAGAGAACATTCTCTTTCTCTCCTGGAGGACCCTCTCTTCCCCAGCTGAGCCTTTCACCCTCACACAGAGGCACAGCCAGTAGCCTCTCTCCCTTTTCCTCCCCTCCCTCCTTTCACTCCTCCAGGAGGCATCTCACCCTGCTCTAGGAATGTCCTTTCATAGCCTAACCTTTCTTGCTCTCCCCTCTGCCGCTACCCTCTCAGTCATGGAAGCCATGGCAACAGGAGGGGGTGGCCAGGGAGACAGCGTTGCCTAGCAACCAGGAGTTTCCGGCCTCTGTCTCTGGGGTGACAGGTGGCTTTGAGAGTAGAGCAGCTAGGGTTGGGAAGGAAGGAAAGGAAAAGAAAGGGTGCTCTCTGACCTCAGATACCATAACTCTAGAGCCTGCTCTTTATGAGTAAAGGGAGGTACCAAGGAGATGCCTCTGGGACTGGAGCAGAGGGAGGGTATGGATGACTCTGAAAGGTGGGAACAGGAAAGAAGGAGCCAGAGTCCCTATTGCTTTTCTTTTCTTTTTTTTTTTTTACTTACTATTTTATGTGTATGAGTGTGTTGCCTGCATGTATGTAAGTGCACTTGTGCCATGCAGTGCCTTGCAGAGGTCAGAAGAGGACATCAAATCCCCTGGAGTTATGGATGGTTGTTAGCTGCCATGTGGGTGCTAGGTTCTCTGCAAGAGCAGCCAGTGCTGTTAACAGCTGAGCCATCTCTCCATCCCCCATTGCTCTTAGATCTTTGATTGACCCTCGCTACTGCCTCCCCAGCAGCCCATTTATCCCACCTGGGCACGTATGTACAGGACCATGTATATGTACAGAAAGAAGACTGTTCTGAGGAACAGGAGAGATGGGGATTCTAAGAGCAAATTTAGACCCCTGGGAACTTTAGGGAGCAGCCAGGACTCCCACTGCAGTAAGATCAATGTGGGTTAGATTTGAGGCAGAACTTACACAGAAAGATGGTAATGATAAAGTAGGCAGACAGAGAGAAAGCCAGCCAATTTCCTTCCCTAAAGAAAATGATATTTCCATGTCCCTCTCCAATTCTCCATTTTCTGGGACTGGAGCAGAGGGAGGGTACGGATGACTCCCAAGGGCTCCCCAACCCTCAGCTGCTCTTCTACCCTGGCAGTGAACCACCCCTGAGCCAGCTGGTATCCGACTCAGACTCAGAGCTGGACAGCACAGAGCGGCTGGCCCTGGGAAGTACAGATACCTTGTCCAATGGACAGAAAGCAGATCTGGAGGCTGCACAGCGCCTAGCCAAGAGGCTATACCGACTTGATGGCTTCAGGAAAGCTGATGTGGCCCGACACCTGGGCAAGAAGTAAAGCTCCTGAACTGGACCTGGGACTGGGGCCAAGGAATATATTCTGGGGGTAGCATCTCCTTTCCCAGCAACCTCCAGTTGGTCCATTGATACTCTTGTGACCCCACCTGTCTCTTTGCCCTGCCCACAGCAATGACTTCAGCAAACTGGTGGCTGGCGAGTACCTAAAGTTCTTTGTCTTCACGGGCATGGCTCTGGACCAAGCTCTCAGGTGGGTATTGTGCCTTCTGAGGACAGTCCCCATTCTCCAGGCTTGGTGTACAGGGCTCCAGCTATGCATCCCCTAAGTTGTAGTGACAGCACTCACTCTCCCCAAAGATGAGGGCTGCCAGGTAAGGAGATCTTGAAAGGGGAGTGACATCATCTTCCTACCCTAGGGTCTTTCTGAAGGAGCTGGCCTTAATGGGTGAGACCCAGGAACGGGAGCGTGTGCTGGCCCACTTCTCCCAGCGATACTTCCAGTGCAATCCTGAAGCCCTGTCCTCAGAGGGTGAGCAGGCTGGGAGCAGAACTGTCCTAGCTGGCCACTGGGGCACATGTTTGTGCAAGAGACTGTGTTTGTGCAAGAGGGAATGACTGCACAAAGTTGTGTGTATATTCAGATATGGCTGCTCCAGTGTGGGCGGGCATGTTGCTAGGTCAAGTGTGTTGTGAGAGGCAGGTGCAGGTGTATTTGCATGATGCTGTTCCCATATATATGTGCAGGATGGGTCTTGACCACAGTGCTGACTGGCTCTACTCTGCATACCTGAGGGCTCTACCAACTTGCCCGTGTTTAGTATTAAGCATTTAAGTGTTGGGTCAATCAGGGAGCAGCCCCTAGCAACTTAGGGAACTAGGGTGGGGTGCCCATAGAACAGGGTGAGGTCCTTGCTGAGGGAATGGGCTGGAGTAGCGATGGAGTAGGTTCACAAACAGGATTCAAGTCTTAAGAAAGTATAAGCCAAAAGGGTCCCAAAGGGGGTGAGTGATGAATGGCTGTGGGAAGAGTCTCCTGGGAGGTAGGCTGAGGCTGACAGTCAATTCTCCCCTAGACGGAGCCCACACGCTGACCTGTGCCCTCATGCTCCTCAACACTGATCTTCATGGCCACGTGAGTTGGGGGCAGGCAAGTGGGAGCCAGAAAGTAGGCTACTGTCCAGAAATGTAAAAGGCTTTGGGAGACTAAGCGTCCCCCAACCTCACAGGCCTCTGTTTTCCTCCCTTAGAACATTGGGAAGCGCATGACCTGTGGGGACTTCATTGGAAACCTGGAGGGCCTCAACGATGGCGGTGACTTCCCCAGGGAGCTGCTCAAGGTGTGTGTGGGGGGGGGGCGGGGGGACTCATCTTGTAGAAGTTACTGGAAGGGAAGGATAGAGGACCTGTTGGGGAGCAGAGTCTAAGGGAGGAAGGGCTGGAGCTACTAGGCTGGCTCCCGCAGCAGGAACCTGGGCTCTCGTGACTCAGCTTGGGGACCGCCTCCTCGCCCAGCCCCCACATGCAGGCCTTGAAAATGCGCATGCGCACACTATCCTGAGGCCGGGGAAGGGGGACTGGATCTGGAAAACACGTGAGAGCAGGCAGTCCTGGACTCTGCATTTGCTTTCTTCAGTTCCCCAATTCCAGTGTGTGCAGAGGGTGAAAGGGCGGGATCCTGCTCTAGGGAGGTGGGTAGGGCACAGGTACACTGCTCTCCAGGGTATAAAAGGCTCAAAGATCTTCCTGGCACCACTGCGCGGGAGGGACCCTAAGATAGACTGATCTGAGAGGCACAGCCTGGGCACAACGCTGGGACTAGATAATGTGCTTCTGGCTCCCTTGGGAGCAGGTCCTGTACCCAGGCTCCAGGAATGGGGGTAATGCCGGTGGGAAAAGGAGTGTTTTACCCAGAGAGGCCTGGACTTAATTGAAGAAACCCTCACGGTGGGAGAAGGGTCTCTGGGCCACTCCATATATATGACTACACAGGTGTATGACCTTGGGGTGTATTGGGTTTCTGAGTTTGGGCATGTATCTGAGTCGGGTATCTGAATTGGGGAGTCCACTGTGAGTTGAGGTGTCAGTGAGCTGGGGTGTTTGAATTGTGTATGTGTGTGTGGCAAGTGTCTGAATCAAGGGACTTGTATGACTTGGGATGTTAATGCTTTGGGTGTAGTCCGGGTGTTTAGGCATGATGCAGGATGGTTTGTATCTTTCAGTTGGCTCTGTCTAATTTGACATCTGTCCATGTGCATAGGTGTGTTTGTAAGCTATAGACGTACATTTTGAGGTGTATATCTGTAAGTTGGGGTAAGTAGGTATGTCTGACCTGGGCAGGATAAGTGGTCATTGGAGATATGGGTTGTCGGGTTGAATGAAGCCCAAGGCTGTCCCAAGGCCACCTCCAGAGGTCCAGCCCACAAACCTCAGAGACAGGCTGGGGTGGGGTTCTCCCGGTTTTCTCAGCCCCCAATCCAGACGAGCCAGGAGGGAGCTCCGGACTCCGCCCGCAGCCCTCCTTCCCCGCGGGGTTCGGCCCCCTAGTGAACCCCCACGCATGCGCCCCCACTGGCTGCCGGCCCTCCCCATGGCGCCGGGCCCGCATCGGTCGGTCGCCTCCAGCGCTAGCCGTCCCCGCCCCAGCCCGCGCCCTCCCCTCCCGCCAGCGCCCCCTCCTTCTCGCGGTGCTGCGGAGCCCACGGCGCTTCCGCCGCGCGCGCTCGTGCGTCGGTGGGAGC